AAGTTCAACGGCCCGACGTACTCCCGGGCCTCCGCGCCAAGCAGTTCGGTCGTCGCCAGCGAGTCCGCGAAGACAAGAGGCATGGCACTCACCGTCGTAGACCTCTTCCTCGGCGAACAGCACACGGTAGTCGTCGTCGTCGGGTTGTATCGCACTCCTCGTAGATGTCCAAGAGCTCGGCCCCCATGCTCGCCCGCCAACGCTGCGACCGCAATCGCCGAAGTAGTTCTTGATCTCGAACTTCTTCATCTCAGTCTCTTTCGGCTTGCCGACAGGGGTCTCCATCTTGGCGCATGGGTTCTCGCCCCTCTGGACCTCCGCACTCCCGCCATGCCCGTTGCCGGAATCTGGCGCCGAGAAGTTACCCTCAACCATCAGGTCGTCGTTGATCTCCCAAACCATCGCCACCGAATACTGCGCGCGCTGCGTTGATGCTGCCCCTTGCCCCGGCGCGCGCGCGGCCTCGCGCGCGCCAAGAAAGACGCCTGAACGCGATCAACTCGATCTCGACATCCTCGCTCACTGGGCCCATCTGGGAGAGACTGCGCATCGAAAGAGCGCCGCTGGACATCAGCCTCGCAGGGCACCTCCGCCCGACATTGCACAGCCGCCGGGCCCGCCCACGCCGGGCTCGGCAACCAGCACGGCAGCTCCGCCTCCAGCCACTAGAGCTGGGACACACTCCTCGAGACATCGCAGACGCTGTTGCGGTCGTTGTCCTCGCTCAGCTCCGCGACGCCCACGAAAATCTGCCCGCGGCAACTGGAATCGACCCGCGAAATTCCTCGCCGTGCACCCGGTCGCAAGCCAACGACTGGGCAACGGGCCAACCTCTCGAGCCGCTCGCATCGCGGTGGCCAGCCCGGGGCGACGGCCAAGAACTTGAACCTGATGCGGCGGCGCCGTCTGGCGCCCAGCAGCTGCTCTGGCCGCCGCGGCAGGGCCGCGCGCCCTCGCTGAAGGTCCGAGGATCCCGCAAAGGCGGAAGACTCCTCGAAACGCCCCTCCTCGTAGGCTTCCTTCGCTTTCTCCTCGCCGTCTCCCTCGTGATTGGCCGTGTCGGCTGCGACGTCCATGCGATATGGCTCGGGTCGCAACCAGTCGACGGGGCGGCCCGCGCTGCTCGACGCGGTCGCCTCCTTGAACTTCGAGCAGGGGAGCAGCCGGGGCCCGCGTCGGCCCCCCCTCAAGCGCAGCTGCGCGCCCCCGCCGGGAGGGCTTGTTCGCGCCGTTCTGGACCGCGGAAGCACAATGTGCCAGGGCGGCACTCCGCGATCGCATCGAGATCTCAGGAAACTGTTTCCGCGCTGGGCCATCGCCGCCCGCGATTGGGCGCCGCGCGCGCATCCAAAGTGCCAGCGCCCTCGCTCTCCTGCTCGATCTCCTGCGCGCCGACGGGTGGCCGCCATTGCTGGCGATGATATTCAGGCCCCTTGCCAGCGCCGTTGACCTCTAGGGACTCTAGGGGTTCACGTAGAGGCGCTTCTTCAAACGCGTGCCCATACTGACGTGCTCTAGCTGCTGGCCGCAAAGCCCATCGGTCGCGCGCAAGATTGCCGCGCGCTGCCGGATCCGCCCAAATGCCCATCTCACCGCCGCCCGGACGCGCCCGTCCGCGACCCGCGCAACGCGCGCTGCTCCCCGCGCCCAGCGCCCGGACCACCCCGTCGAAGCCCTTCTCGACGTTCGCGAGCGCTCTCGTTCCTTAGCCCTCGCCCCCGAACATCGCCCAAACCCTGCCGCGTCGTCGTCGGAAGAGCGCTCCAAACCGTCGCCGACCTGCTTCCCTGCGATGACGGCCGCGCGGGCCTCGTCGCCGGGCGAACGCGAGATCTGTTCCCAGCTGACGGCCGCGCCGCTCAAGCCCGGCGGCGCGCCCGACGCCATCGGCAGGGCTACCGCGCGCGCGAGGCCGCCGATGCTGCGGGCCCACCGTTTAAATTCATTCTCTCAGAAACCGCATCCAATGAAACCCCCCGGCGCTGGCGGCGTCGTCGTCGACGCGGCCGTCTGCGGCGAGGCCGCGCTTAGCGGCGGCGCCGGGGCGCCGCCGCGGCCCCCCCCGAAGCCGCCGACGCGGATGACGAGCCCAGCCCAAATGTCTGGTCGAGTCCGAAAGCCGGCCCACGTGGCGCCAGTCCCACGGCTTCCGCCACCCCCGTCATCTCGCTCGCGCTCGGCGCGCCCATCGCGGGAAGGGCTGGCCCTCCACTTGCCGGCGATCATAGCCCACTCGGCCTCGACGGTGACTCCTGGGCCACGCTCGGTGAAATGGGCGCGCGACCCATTTCAAGTCGGCCATTGATCGTCACCCTCGGCGCTGCCGCAGCCCGCGCAATCAATCACAACCCCAATAAAACCCTTCGAGCCTGCCACGCTCGCCTTGTCGCGCGAGATTCGAGGCCGGCCAGGCCGGGGCGTCCTCGGCGCCGGCAAGAAGCAAGTTGACTGAAAAGTACAAGCGCTCACGTCACAATAGCATGAACAAGCCAAAACACAAAAGCCATAGCAAAATTACTCAAACATATGGACATACGAAACGCAAAGAAAATATAACAAACGTATCTCTCGCGCACTGTCCTCGCACAACGGATTCCTGAACTTCTGCGCTTCGTTCCTCGGCGCGGCGCACTTCTCGCGCTCGCGCGCCGGCGCGGTTCTTCCACTATTGCAAGTGGAACGCTTTGCGCTCCTTTGGAGGGGGGGGGTCCGACGTAGCTGGCCAGAATATGTCAAGCCTTGTCGTCGATGGCCTTCGGTGTCTTATCGGTCACGGTGTTCCTTGAAGCAAAAAAGCTGACCGCCCCGGAGCCGCGGGCAGGTTCTGCTGCCGAAATACGGGAGGTAGAGGCCGCCGAAGATGCAGTAGCCGCCGTGCCACTATTAAACCAAAACCAGGGTGCACCCGCACTGGCTCCAGCAACTGGTCGAGGTCCATCGGTAACAAAGGATCATTTGCCGGTCCTTTTTCCCCCTGCCGACGCGGGCAATCCTTCGCTGAGCGGACCTCGCCATCGCATCCTTTGGTCAAGCGCTCCATGACTTTGCCGCCTTCACCGATGGGGCCACGCCTGCCGAGAGGGCAGGGCGGCAGGGGCTATCACCCCCGCCGCCCTGCCCTCTCTGTCCGAAGGCGCCTCTGAAAACTATCGGTGGGCCATTTCCGTTTCTGCATTTGTTGACGCGTCAGCATCGGGTAAGACGCCCTGTAAATCTCCGCCAGCGCTTCCCGTGGAACACGTAGTTCTGGCACAGGGACTGCTGGATCACGTCGTCGCCTCGACCCACGGTGCCCGGGAAGTCCGATCCGTCCAGGTCCTCTCCGTCGTCTTCGTCGGTGCCGGCGTCGTTCTCGTCTTCGCTGCCCGCGCTTATGCATGCCGACCAAGGGTCGGGAGGTGGTGGAACCACTGCCAAAAGAGCCCAGCTGTTCGATGGAGCCCAAACCGAACCTGCGGAAGAGGCAGCCTGATACGCTCCTGCGGCCAGCACGCCACTTCCAGTGCCAAAGCCCAGACCGCCCCCTGGCTCGCCATCAACTTGAGCTCCTCCGCCACCGAAGTCGAAGGTCGGGAAGTAGAAATGTCCAGGCTTCGCGCCCTTGCCACTGTTACGGTTGATCACCACCGGACCCTTCTCCAGGATGTGGCCATGCCTCCTGATGTACTCCACCAACTCATTGAAATTCTGCTCCGTTCTCGGAATATGCCCCCTAATGTGAATCAGGAGCTCGTTCCATCCCTGCGGGCTGCAGTTCAGCGCATGCATGGGCGTCCACGCGGAGCCCTGCGTCTCCGCCGAGTAACCTCGAGCCTCGACAGTGTCTGGTCGATACTCCCGCGGTTCTTCCTGGAAAAGCCCAGCAAGCCGCGCGTGGCCATCAGCTCGCTCTCATCGACCAGCGGCGCGTACGACTTCGAGAGAACCAGCAAAAGCAGTTGGAACCCCGCCAACTGCCTCGCGCCATTGCCGTCGCCAGGTTCCGCGAATGCCCAGTCGAGCATCTGTTCCTGCGGGATCTCCCTCGCCAGGCTGCACGCAGCTCCGCCCAGTCGAAGAGCAACTCCAAGGACCTCGCGCGCCGCCGCTGCCGCCTACATCGTCGCGTCCGTGAGCCAGAACCTGGACGGGCACGCCCTGTCCTGCTCGGGACTCCAGGCGGGCGGCACATTCAGGGAGCCCATCACTTCGAGCTGCATATTCTCCATACGAGCTGTCCAGCTAGCAGCTGTCGTAGAAGATGGCCAGCTGGTCTCCGACCCCGTTGACCGAACCGTGGTCGCATTCCACTTCGATGGAAACCTTCAGTTCGCCGTGGGCCGCCACGACGGCATGCTTGTAGACGAAGCTATACGGCCTCTCGTCGCGCAGCGGCAGCGACCGAGCCCTCGTCCGTGGTGGGCCGAGGGTCCACCACCAAGTTGGTAGGAGCCTTTCCTCCCGACGCTGGCCCCCCAGCCGCTTCGGCAGATCGCACGCGCCCTCGGGCGCAGGCCGCGCCCCCGCGCGCAGCCTCAGTCGCTCGGCACGGAACCAGAGGAGCCACAGCGAGCCGTCGGCGTGCTCGTGCGTGCTGCCCTCGCCCCCCACGGCCCACAACTGGTTCTCGACTCCTCCTCCTCTTCCTCCCCCTCCTCCTCCTCCTCCTCCTCGTCGTTTTCCTCCTCCTCCTCCTCGTCGTCCTCCTCCTCTTCCTGCTCCTGCTCCTGCTCCTGTCCTCTTCCTCCTCCTCCTCCTCCTCCTCCTCCTCCTCCTCCTCCTCCTCCTCCTCCTCCTCCTCCTCCTCCTCCTCTCCTCATCCTCCTCCTCCTCCTCCTCCTCCTCCTCCTCTCCTCCTCCTCCTCCTCCTCCTCCTCCTCCTCCTCCTCCTCCTCCTCCTCCTCCTCCTCCCTCCTCCCGCCTCGCCCCCCCCTCAAGGCGCACCGAGCAGCACGAAGCAGAAGAGGCTGGGCTTCCCGCGGTGCCGCGCTGCCCCGGGCGGCGGCCCCACCCGGCCGTGC